TCATGCAATAAAACCTCGCACGTAGGCTGCAATAAACCACAAGGGCTCCAATTAAAAACATTGTGTCTGTCGGCTAACACGACCTTCAGGTACTGGTTCACTATTTGGGCTTTGGCATTCAGTTCGTTATCATTCCGCGGAATAATGCCACATACCACAACAACACGCACGGATAGCTCTGTTAACAAAGCAGTCACTAGGTCATCAATCTGAGAACCAATGACCTCAGGCCTAATGTTTGACAAGTCATTCGTTCCTATTTCGAGAATGACGATATCCGGGCCAAAACGAACTACGTTACCGAAATCATATTTTCTAAGTTTGTGAATGGTACGGCCACCCACCCCAAAAAGCCGGACATTGCAATCGTCAAGACCAAAATGAAGCGACGAACGATGGTCGAAGTTTMGTTCTAAGTCCATTCTTAAACGTTAACAAAGGAATGGCCCAAGATCATGATCTTTGTCTTCAACATCGTGGAGGTATCGACTGCAAATAAATGCAATGACCTTTCCTCGAATTAGAGATTAATACAATCATGCCAAACACCTCAAAACTGTTGAAGAAATCCAGTCGGATAAAGAACTCCAACTGAAGTACAAACAAAATCGAACCAGGCAAACCGATTACCTCACAAATGTGAAGAAGTTAATCGGAAAAGATCGGGACTTAACTAAAAACCCGAATAGTAAAAAGTGAAAAATTAATCCTTTACATCGACCAGTTGAAAACTTTACATCGGAATTAAAGAAATAGACCATTGTTAGTCATTTCACGCAAATATGCAATCAAATACTAAAATAAACATGCTGAAAAAATTGTACAAAGGGGTGCAACTCACCTTAGAATCGCATTCAAAGTGAACAAGCTGCCAACTGAACAAGGCGGGAAAAACAAAAAYCTAGAGGGCTTCTCAATTAATAGAATTACCTTTACCCTACCACCGGAAGCTGACGTCACCGGAAGTAAACTAACATGATTAAATATTGCTAAATGTAATCTTTTTTCGCCATAAAATTCATTTTGTTGGACAAAATATTATTTATTGTTTGTGTATTGGTTTACTTGACTAAATCAGGATCAGTAGGTGTGTCCTCCTGTTCTTCATATTCAGCTGATTCTATAATGATAATAGTTACAAGTCTTTAAGTGGCAAGGTTAAATATTCATTGACAATTACTGACTCTAACAAAATGACTACTAATGTCAGAAAATGTGTTCCGTAGAGAAGAGTGTTATTGAATGTGGTGACCAATAAGAGTGCTTGATTTTCAATAATCACCTTATACAGCCATCTTGTACTTATGCTTACTAATTAATATTATTRACCATTAGTCGTATAGGTTAGTTTGCCAACCTGCTTTTTTCGCCATGTTTGAAATTTCTTCACGCTTATACTGGTTAAGAAAGGTGTCAACAAAATCACCTATTTTGTCATCAAAGTACTCCTTCTTCTTTTTGAGTGACTTGCACAAAATACCATTAGGTGGGCAATTCTTTTTTGGTACAGCTTCAAGGTCTTCCATCCCCCAAAATTCCATTGCTGCTTCTACAATGTAAGCTTTTCCAATTGATATTAGGAATTGCTCGCAACCATTGTATGACTTTGTTACCTTTTTATTGCAGTGTTATTCGTTCCGTGTTGGAATACGCATGCCAAGTTTTCCACAGCAGCCTTCCTGCTTACTTGTCACAGGAAATCGAAAGGATTCAGCGTCGCGCCTTGAAAATCATTTTCCCTGATAGCAGCTATAAAGACAGTTTGGACAGTACGGGACTTNGTGATTTCTCTTTTGCATCATGATGGAATAGCAAAGACATAGAGGTGCCATGAACACATTGATTAGACTGAAATATATATTATACCAGGGGCGGATCCAGACTGATTTGAAGGGGGGGGCACTAACTTCCCACAGAGTCCGCAATTTATAATTTCAAACCGATTTACTTTAAGCCCAAGATTGCGCAATGAGCTTTGCAAGAACTAACTAAACGTTTATGTACAGTAAATTTATAAACAAAACTGATGATCGTTGATATGACTTGATAAATAGCGATTGATTTTAAGTACTAATCTTCATCTTTAGCGGCCGCCAAATCGGCAAGTTCCATTCGTCGAGGGTGAAGAGCAGCAAATTCATCCACAGTGTGTTCCAAATTTAATGTGTTAATGTTGCTCCTTTCGCGGTGTACAAATAGCATGGCCAGACCATTGAGACGGTTGTTGGTCATTGTTGATCTCAGGCTTGACTTCAAAATGCGCAGAGTGCTAATGGAGCGCTCGCAGGTACAACTGGTTACTGGTAGAGTTGCACCAATACGAAGCAAGGTGTGTAAGTTGGGGAAAAACAATTTGTCTGTTTTCCCAAGAGCCTTCGGGATTGTATTGCATTCTTTTCCCTCCTTGTCCCCATGCCACTTAATACACCAAGCTTGTAATTCCGTATCAACTGCAAAAGAAGAGGGAAGATCTTCGTCATAGAATGAGCAGATGTCTTTAATGTCATTCTTAGTTAAATTCTTTGCTGATCCATACAACTCACTGGGTAATAGGATGACAAACTGAGAAAGATGAAGTGAGTTCTGCGAGCTGTTATCAAATCGATCTTGCAGTTGAGARGAAAGATGGTCGAGAAGTGGCGCGGTAATCGTTCGTCGAAAGTATTCACACGGATCTCTAGCTTCCGSATTTGCCCTATGCTGTTGACGTGCTACTGTTCTAGGTATTTCCTCTTCGATACCTACTTCCCTGGCTAATGTGACTGCATCGTCATATATGCGCTTGTGATATGCTTCGATTTCGTGTCGGTTCAGCTCCACTTGCTGTTTGACAAGTTCAACTTCCATGTGAGCACTTGCTATGTCTACATAGGAACCTTGGAGTTTGATGCTCAAAACTTTGGTCATGAGAAAGACCTCTCGTGTAAGCATCAAAGCAACAATCAATGGGAATCTTAGTAGAGCATTAAAAAGTACGTTCGCTTCTTGGCGTGTTTCTCTGTTCCACTCACTAGCTGATGCCTCTGACAGTGCTTCTAAACAGGTAATCAGTGGCTTGTAGAGATGGATAAACACCTCAAATGCATCATGCCGTTCAACCCA